CCCAGTTTCCCATTCCCAGTTTCCCATCCCCATTCCCAGTTTCCCATTCCCAGTTTCCCATCCCCATTCCCAATTTCCCATTCCCAGTTTCCCATTCCCAGTTTCCCATTCCCAGTTTCCCATCCCCATTCCCATTCCCAATTTCCCATTCCCAATTTCCCATTCCCATTCCCAGTTTCCCATTCCCAGTTTCCCATCCCCAGTTTCCCATTCCCAGTTTCCCATCCCCAGTTTCCCATCCCCATTCCCATTCCCAATTTCCCATTCCCAATTTCCCATTCCCATTCCCAGTTTCCCATTCCCAGTTTCCCATTCCCAGTTTCCCATTCCCAGTTTCCCATTCCCAGTTTCCCATCCCCTTTCCCATCCCCATTCCCATTCCCAGTTTCCCATTCCCAGTTTCCCATCCCCTTTCCCCTCTCCATTCCCAAAGATCTCCCCTCGCTCTCTCCCGGCTCCATTTGGGATTCCTCCGGGGGTTGTTTTTTTTTTCGGGAAAACTCAACGCTCTTCCCTCCTGACCCCGGAGCATCTGTTAGGAAAATTCATTCCCTTTTTTTTCCCATCCCCTCCCTTCCCAATATTCCGTTGGCAGCGGGAAGTGTGAACGGCGCTCGGATCCGCCGCCTGCTATTTCGGGATATTTACGGTCACCTCTCGCTTCCCGAGGGAAAAGCGTGCCGGGAGTTTATTCCCGGGAAAAACAGATTGCCTGCGCCATGTGCTTCCCGGGACAGTCAAAAGAACAAATCCCGGGAAACGGCGCCGCTCCCAAAACCCGGAATCGCTTTTCCCCGCCCCCCGATTCCGGTGCCAGACGGAATTCCCGGAGCTTTTCCGTCGGGAACGGGAGAGGGGAGGGGGGATCCGGGTGGGAATGGGGAGGGAAGGGAGGTGTGGGGTTGTGGGCCTGGGAATTTTTTCCCGGTTTTTTTTTTTTTTTTCCGGGGTATCCCGTTAATCCCCTAATTTTCCGGGAATGGATCGGGATTGGGATCAGAAATCCTGGGAATGGATCGGGATTGGGATCGGAAATCCCGGGAATGGATCGGGATTGGGATCGGAGATTCCGGGAATGGATCGGGATTGGGATCAGAAATCCTGGGAATGGATCGGGATTGGGATCGGAAATCCTGGGACTGGATCGGGATTGGGATCGGATATCCCGGGAATGGATCGGGATTGGGATCGGAAGTCCTGGGACTGGATCGGGATTGGGATCGGATATCCCGGGAATGGATCGGGATTGGGATCGGGGATCCCGGGAATGGATTGGGATTGGGATCGGAAATCCTGGGAATGGATTGGGATAGGAGATCCTGGGAATGGATCGGGATCAGAGATTGTGGGAATGGATCGGGATTTGGATCAGAAATCCTGGGAATGGATCAGGATCAGAAATCCTGGGAATGGATCGGGATTGGGATCGGAGATTCAAGGAATGGTTTGGGATCAGAAATCCCGGGAATGGTTTAGGATCAGAAATCCTGGGAATGGATCGGGATCAGAGGTTTTGGGAATGGTTTGGATTGGGATCGGAGATTCCGCGAATGGATCAGGATCAGAAATCCCGGGAATGGATCAGGATTGGGATCAGAGATTCCGGGAATGGATCAGGATCAGAAATCCTGGGAATGGATCAGGATTGGGATCGGAAATCCTGGGAATGGATCAGGATTGGGATCAGAGATCGTGGGAATGGATCGGGATTGGGATCGGAAATCCTGGGAATGGATCGGGATCAGAGATTTTGGGAATGTTTTGGATTGGGATCAGAAATCCCGGGAATGGATCGGGATTGGGATCGGAGATTCCGGGAATGTTTTGGATTGGGATCGGAGATTTTGGGAATGGTTTGGGATCGGAAATCCCGGGAATGGATTTGGGATTGGGATCAGAGATCCTGGGAATGGTTTGGGATTGGGATCAGACTCCAGAATTCCGGCCTTTCCCTAGCAGAAGCGGATTATCCATGGAAATGGGGCTGGCCGGGAATTCTGTGGGAAAGAAAGGAAGGAAGGAAAAGGAGGATCGGATATAAAGGAAATAAAAGGGAAATAAAAGGGAAATTAAGGAAAAGTATGGAAATCAAGGAAATAAAAAGGAAATTAAGGAAATAAAAAGGAAATCAAGGAATTCATAAGGAAATTAAGGAATTCATAAGGAAATTAAGGAATTAATAAGGAAATTAAGGAATTAATAAGGAAATTAAGGAATTCATAAGGAAATTAAGGAATTAATAAGGAAATTAAGGAAATAAAGAAGGAAATTAAGGAAATAAAGATGGAAATTAAGGAAATAAAGATGGAAATTAAGGAATTAATAAGGAAATTAAGGAATTCATAAGGAAATTAAGGAATTAAAAAGGAAATTAAGGAATTAATAAGGAAATTAAGGAATTCATAAGGAAATCAAGGAAATAAAAGGGAAATTAAGGAATTAATCAGGAAATAAAGAAGGAAATTAAGGAAATAAAGATGGAAATTAAGGAATTCATAAGGAAATAGAAGGGAAATTAAGGAATTAATAAGGAAATCAAGGAAATAAAGATGGAAATTAAGGAAACGAAGGAATTTTTTGGCCTCTCCCGGCTTTTCCCACTTTTCCAGAAGCTTCCCTAAACCCCCCACCCCCTCCGGATTCCCTGGAATCGCGGAGGCTCCGGAAAGGAGGAGCCGCCATCCCTAAAAAAACCGAGCGGGATTTCCATCCCGGATCCGGGATAACGAATTCCCGTCGAGCCTCTCCGCCATTCCCGCTCCCTTCCCGATTATTTGGGATCTTTCTCCCGAAGATCTCCCGGAATCCGCAGGTTTTTCCGCCCCCTCCCCCCGCCCCGAAACTTCCCTGGTTTTTTTATTTTTGTTGGGAATGTTGCGTTTTTCCAAAGGGAAAAAAAAAAAAAAAAAAGGAAATTTGGAGAATCACCATAAGGGCTTCTTTGCATTTTTAATTTAGTAACTAACATATGAATACATTTGCATATTAAT